GAAAAAAATAAAAAAATATAATAATAATAATAACAATAATAATAAAAAGATTACAAAAAAAGACTAAATTCATGCATGTTTTTTTTTTTCTGTTTCCATCTATTTTGTAGGTATTAATCGGTTACTTGGCAACAGCACATATGAGGCAGCATTTCCTCCACATGAGGTAAAATAACTTAAATGTATTGCCAGTCACAAGACAGTTTTTTTTGTTGTTTTTTTTTTTTACCTTTATTTGGTTACTGTTGAAGTGTTCGTAGATATATGGACAACTTTGTTATTGTATTTTTAGGGAAGTTATAAAAGCAGACATCCAATTAAAACCCATGGAGCTCAAAACCACAGACACCTTCTGTACGAAAGATGGGCGCGCTGGGGGATCTGGTACAAATACCAGCCTCTAGACCTCATACGGTAAGATACACACATACACACACAAAAAAATCTGGACACATCTATTCATATATCTTTGTATATATTTATATACAATATATACCAATATTCGAATATTTACTATGCTGTCTAATACATACTGTACATTTGTGTGTGATAGTGTATATATGTGTGTGTGTGTGTGTGTGTGTGTCTTTAATCTAATTAATTAATCTAATTTATCAATATTGTCAAATTAAGTCAATATTGTGTTACATGAGAAAAGCATTGAATAGACATTACAAAAAGTAGATTTAGAAAGAAATATTTAGATTCAATATTTTTTTTATGAATATTGAAACATTCAATTAAAAGAAAGAAAGAAAGAAAGAAAGAAAGAAAGAAAGAAATGATACTCTAAATATGAAACTAATACCACCAATAGGTGGCGGCAAGTCACTGTTTTAATGAATGAGTCATTCAGTTTTTCATTCAACCCATTTGTTCAAATGGCTGAATCATTCAGAAACAAAGCAAGTAACAAAACACAGCTGTGTGTTGATCTGAAAGGCACACATTGCAGTGGCTTTGTTTGGAAATATTTTTGTTTGTGAAACTGAGCAAAACAGACAGTATTGACAATATTGTGTCTAAAATGTTTCTGTTTTTTTTTTTAAGTATTGTAAAAATAAATAATCGTTTTCACATTTGCAATCATATTCGGGGAAAAACACCATTCTTGCTCATGTGATATTGCTAAACTATATCATATGATATAAATATAAGACAAAAACCCATGCAGGGCCTTTTTTTTTTTTTGCATATAACTGCATTCTAATGACGCAGTCAGTCCATAACGCAGTCAGTTGTCGTCCTGCATCATGTTCATGCAATGTTAGATGACGTACAGGTCTGGGTCGGGCGGGTGCATTAAATGCATTAATTTTAATACATTATTTTTTCCACAATTAATTGTACCGAATTAATGTGTTAAATCAACAGGGTATCTATACAGGGTACATGTAGAGCACCCATATGAAGCCCTAATGTAGATGATCCAGTGTAATGTGGGGTTTGGGTTTTGTTTCATGTTCATGTTTTCATGTCTTTTATTTTGGAGTTTAATCATGGTCCCTGTTTGCCTCATGCTTCCCTTGCCTCATGTCTCTCTGCCTTGTGTATGTGTCA